TCACATGATTCATCCTGGAAGGATAAGAGTATCTTTTCATTTTTATATTTTTTAATATTAAAAGTTTATAAATATGTGGGGGGGTACATACGTGTGCAGAAAAAGTCTGAAAGGGCATATACTAAAATGTTAATACTGGTTCTCTCAGGGTTGTAGGCTAGGTGAAGTTTATTTGCACTTTCTTCTTTTCACCTATGTGTATTTCCACTTTGTCTGTAACAAACATGTTACTTAAAATGCAAAAGCCAGTAGGGCTTTATGATCAGTCACAGCCACCTTATAAATAATAAAAACAAAGTGGCAGGGGTGCCTGGCTGGCTTAGTTGGTAAAGCATGTGATTCTTGACCTTGGGGTTGTGAGTTCAAGCCTCATGTTGGGTATAGAGCTTACATTAAAAAAATAAAAATTAACTTTTTAAAACTAAAAAAAAAAGTGGCAAAATCAAGTGTAGGAAAACCTGTTTTGTTCTGCTGAGTATAAAAAGGACTGCCAATGTATTCTGAACCACCTCAACTCTACCATTTGAAAAATGTTGAGAGTTCAAGGGTATTTAAAACCAATATTCTGAAAACAAAACACAATATTCTGTGTTGACTTCTAAACAGGCTATAAGAAAACAACATTCGGGCATTGTACCTGCTCTTAATTATTTTCCAGAACTTAAGAAGTGCAGATGTATAAGGCATTCCAATTTTACATGATCATTTATTTGGGGGGGAATCCTTTCATTTTTGCATATATTCAAAATGATTTTTAAATGGTCTTGTAACAAAAATACTGGTTTTTAGTTCATGAGACTACAGCATACTGACTCCAAAATCCAGAGGGAAATCTTAAGTTCTAGTTATGTAACAGGACTCTCCTAATTCTCCAAAAGTATAAAATGTCATAGCCAAAAAGAAGTACTTTGGTATCAGCACAGATTCCAATTCAGTGATAACAATATAGTGAGTCACAAAGCACAAATTACTAGTAAATGAAACCCAATGGCATATAAGTTGTGCTATAAAGACAAATCATAGGGAATTCAAATCAAACCCACAATGAGTTAACACCCACATCCATTAGGATGGCTACTATGAAGAAAAACAGAAAAGAACAAGCATTTGGAAGAATGTGGAGAAATCGGAACACCCTTGTGCAGTGTTAGGAGTGTAAATGGTGCAATGGAAAACAGTATGGCAATTCCTAAAAAAAGTAAACAGGGAATTCCCATATGACCCAGCAGTTCCACTTCTGAGCATATACTCAAAAGAAGTGAAAGCACTTCTCTTGACAAGCACTGAGTGATATACGGAGCTGCTGAATCACTATATTGTACACCTGAAACTAATATAACTCTATATGCTAACTATGCTGAAATTTAAAAAAATTTTAAAAAGGGGGTGCCTGGGTGGCTCAGTCATTAAGCATCTGCCTTCGGCTCAGGTCATGATCCCAGAGTCCTGGGATCAAGCCCCACATCGGGCTCCCTGCTCCGTGGGAAGCCTGCTTCTCCCTCTCCCACTCCCCCTGCTTGCGTTCCCTCTCTCGCTATATCTGTCAAATAAATAAATATTTTTTAAAGGAAAGAAATTTTGACCCATGCTACCACGTGGCTGAACCTTGAGAACGTTATGCTGAGTGAAGTAACCCCGTCACAAAAGGACAAATGCTGTATGATTCCACATACATGAGGAACCTAAAGTAGTCAAATGAATAGAAAACAGAATGGTGGCTTCCAGGGGCTAAGAGGAAGGGGGAATGGGAAGTCGTTAATGGGCACGGAGTTTCAGTTTTACGAGATGAATAGTTCTAAAGATAGACGGTGATGGTTGCACAGTATGAATGTACTAAATACCACTGAACTGTACACCTAAAGATGACTAAGGGTAAATTTAGTATGTGTATTTTGCTGCAACTTAAAAAAATTGGAAGATAAATAATGGGGTCATGTCAGAGAACACTATTTACTTATTTGAGAGCAACAGAGAGAGCACAAGCAGGGTGAAGGGCAGAGGGAGAAGCAGACTTCCCGCTGAGCAGGGAGCCTGATGCGGGACTCAATCCCGGAATCCCGGGATCATGACCTGAGTCGAAGGCAGACGCCTAACCAACTGAGCCACCCAGGCACCCCTAATAATTTTTAAACTAAGCAACTAAATGGGATATGATATTCTGAATTGGCTCCTAAAACAGACATTAATGGGAAAATGGGCAAAATCCCAGTACTGGCATTTACTTAATATACCAATGCTAATTTCTTAGTGTTAACAAACACATCACGGCTACATAAAGCGTTAACATTAGGGAAACGAGGTAAAAGGTATAGAGGAACTCTCTGTACTATCTCTGTAAGATTTCTCCAAATCTAACATTATATGAAAATAAAAATTTATTTAAAAATAAATTTTTAAAGAGCAAGTGATAACTTAAAAAAGTTCAAATTAATTCCCACATAGTAGACAAAGACAACACAAATATATTGGAATTGATAAAGGAAGCAGCAAAATATGAATGCCTATACATAGCTACAGTAGATATGATTTTAGTTTTTATTGTGCCATTCACTGTCGCCTAACTATCGCCTCATCATCCACTAACTGCAAATAGGCAGGCTGTTGAATTTTATATTGCAGCAATATTTCCTTAATGATTCTGGGTGCATATTTTCACTTAGATTATGAACAAATGTTTCTTAGCACAGGTACAATGTGAACTTCCTTCTGCCAATTCCTGCCATTTTATCTTTTAAGTTGGTTGTAAGGTTGTGAGCATCCCGTTTCAGGTCAATTATAAGCCAAGTATGTGCTCAGTGGGTGCCTAGGTAGTGCAAGTCACACCAGACAGCCCTGACTCGGCGCAGGGTCTTCCATTGTAATATGGAGGCGCTGGCTAGAAGCGAATTTGGGGGTACACAGCCATCTGCACAAACGTGGGGGATCACTTCAGCCACTGGAAGTCCATGTTGAATATGTGCTGTAGTTGTTAGAGAAAAGGATCATGAAACACTTCAATCAGTAACCAAGTAGTGGGAAGCAATTGATGAAAACTCTTCAGTGACGAGTCTATTTAAACGCTGTACTCAGATCTAAGGGGAAACAAAGTTTTAATCAGAAAGATGACTTGAAACAACTAAGTTTCAGTTTATTTCCCAGCCCAGCTTCTTTGCTGTTAAAGGTCAACCGCGTAGAAACTGGTAAGACATACAGAAGGGCAAAATACACTATTGCTTTTAACTACTCTGCACAAGGGAGAAATGACTGAGGGTATTTTACCTTCTTTCCTTCCCTTCTCTGTAACCAGTGGCTCAACACTCAAGGGGCTCGCGCTGCAGGTGCAAGGGGCTGGCGCTGCAGGTGCAAGGGGCTGTGAATCACCGGTGCAGTTTGCCTTGCCTTTCCCCGTGACCTTCCAGGTCAATAGGTTAACTTGCTTTGACCACAAATAGAGCTCCTCTTAATTTCTCCAGCACAACCTTAAATTTGATATGAAGCACTTACACGAGGAATGGTGCAGACAAGAAGGCAGCTTTATTGTACTTTGGGGAAAAAACAGAGGATTCCATTTAGGGGGGAAAAAAGCCATTGACACTCAGTAAGCAACACTGCCACCTAGTGGAGTGGCGACACACCACCAAGACTTTCAAGACCAGGTATCAAATGTGCTAGGATTTGCTGGTTTAAATTTTCATCCTAAAACTGAACTCTTAGTATGTTGGTCTTCAGAGAACCTGATTTTGAGAAACTATTTTTTATCTCTGAAATGCATAAATGCTTTCTCTTTTTGGGGGGATAAAGAAGAGAGGTTTTTTGTTTTTTTTAATAGACCATCAAATTCTTGATTTCAAAATTATGTAACACTTTGCGGTAACCTGCCTCTTTGAACATCCATTACTCTTGCACTCTTGTTCGACAGTCTAAACAGCAAGATTATGACAGTTTATAAAGAAACAAATCTCAACTGTTTAAGAACTACATTAAGTTTACTCATTTCCTCTATTTTTATAATCCAGGGTGCTAAGTATTCGCATTTCACTTATTTGAATTCCTGGGGGGGGGGGAGCACTAGAATGCACCAGTAACAGTTTTGCATATATCATATAACCCAACTCTTCTTATGACAACACAATAACAGTGGAAGATACTGGTGTGAGGATGTGGGAATGCTGTTCTTAATGAATAATAAAGTAATTCTTCTCAAGGCTTTCGTTCTCCTTTATACCCAGGTGTTGCAGTAAATGTGTTGACTTGATGACTTCTATGAGCATATAAATGAGAATATTTAATGAAACACCTGGCTGAAAAAAAGAAAGTCATGAGAATAACATATTGTTAATAACCACAATCTCAAATCTGTGCCTCTGTTATTACTGAGATTTTAGATTCTGGGTTAAGTGCTCTGCTCTCTTTGGAATATGCATAATGGTTATTGATCTTGCTAATGAGTTCCTCTGTTGCAACATTTGGGGGTATATGGCTGGAGGAACTCACGGATTCTAGAATGTAGGAGTCTGACAGGGTCTTCATCAATCCATATTCTTGGCAAATAAACTCAGTTATGGATTTCAGGAAGAACCAGGTTCTGGGAAAGAGGTATACACGTGTAGAGAAAGAAGTGGAATTAAAACATTTTTAGGCTGCATTTTGTCAGCAGCCACCATCAAATGTTTCAATTCTGAGAACCTGAGATTATCCAGAAAAGCAGAATTCTGAGCATAGGGTGGAAGCTATCCCAAAGTCAGAAGCCAGTGTTTTGCATTTCCCAAAGCAACATGAAATGGGGGAACGGGGGGTGGTCCCTGAAGTACTAGATCTGAATGAGGTTGTTCTTCCAAGGGTTGATCTAGACTGCTTTGGTTCAGTGCTCACCAGAGTCTGCAATAATCCCCTGGCTCCCACCCAGTAACAGTCCTGACTGCAACTGTCACATACTGCTCCTATTTGGGCACCCCTGAAGCCAATACAATAAAAGATCCTAGGGAAGGAAGCCTTATATTAACTCAAACATGATGCCAGAGTCATCTCCAAAAAAGTTTATTAGCATGATTAAAAACATTTTTTGAATAATGACAAAGAATTTCTAAACATGAAAGAGTATCAGTGGCTATACCTTATAACCAAATATTTGCAATTGAACGGACAGCTTTATTGCCAGTCTTCATTTTATTAAAAACAATCATCCATATTTATTGGTTCCATGTGAGGTCATGACTATTGCTTTGACTGGGAATGAGTCCCTACTGTAATTAAGTATAAAAAATATCTTCCATACTTGGAGTGTGACCTGTATACTGAGTAAAGAGTTGATAAAAATCCTCAAAGAGTTGGGTTTTGTTTTTTAAAAACATTCCTTTTACACACTACAAAGAAATAATTAGTATTTTGGCTTTTTAAATTCCTACATGATATTCAGAATGGCAGTCCCCAAAGGTCCTCCCTTCACATAATCACAAACGCAGACCCTTTTCTGGAGTGTACATTCTTGGGGTGGGCGCTGAAGACTCGGACCTCCACGTGTTTATACTGGTTTGAGAACAAAGACAGCATCATCCAGAACGTAGTAGTCATTATACATGTCGCCTTCACACAGGTATGGTAGTCTGGTGAAAGCTTCAATAACAAAACCAGCTTTTCTGAAAACTTCAGGCAGACTATTCACTTGTTCTTCCCAATTCTGTCCCTTGATTTCTAAAATTTCTGATGGTTTCTCCCACTTGCCACCTACTAAAACAAATAGAAACATTAAGTTAAATTCTTGAACAAACAAGTTATTCAAAGAGAGAAGGGACGAAAAACAACATTTGCCAAGGACTTGGTATGTGTCAAGCACTGGGTACTTCGATGACTCATCTCCCCGATACCCTCTGAGGAGGACAAAGAGATGAAGTATGGACCCAGAGGGCTGAGGAACTCGCCCAAGCTTGCAAGGTTAGTGAGGGTAAGAGCAGAAATGTAATCCCAGGTTTATCTGGATCCAAAGCCCGTACTTTTACCTTCTCTGACAGTTTTAGATCTTACCCTCCATTAGACCAACTGAGTTGTCAGTGTTCATGGTTTTGGAGAACTCCTCATTAAATACAGGAAAATGGAAGCAGAGAGTTACCCATAAAATATGAAAGAAGGTTTAGGGATAAATGCAAGAAAATATACCCATGATGTAGTAAATGTATGCAATGTATTAACTAGAAAGGTTTATCAGGCTGAAAATAGACTAATGAAGGCTTTTAATTTATAAAGACAGATCACTGGTGTGTTTTTCAAGGGAAGGTGATCCACTCCCTAACTTTTGTAACACTTTTATAAAAGTTAAGCTCCAAAACCAGAGAAAGGTAGAGTGCTAGAACGGACGCGTCAGTCTAGCATTTCTTGGACTAGTGGCTAAAGTCTGAATCTGTTCCTTCCAAGCCCATGAGCATCAGATGCCTGTGGAATGGGGGTTGGGGTGCCTGGATAAGGTCTTCAGGCCTTCAAGTTCACACCAAGCACTGGGTCCAGACATGTGGACACAAAGATAATGATATATGTCAATTCTGGGGTGCTTTTAGGACTTGTGATGTTAAAAAAAATGCACACGTTAAAAGTATTACTAACTTCAGACAGAGAGTAGCTTTCTGTGAGAAAAGACATCATCAATAGGTGCCAAGAGTCCAAACACTACAGTGGAAAGATCTGTCGCTCGTCTTGGTGGCCCAGCACCTGAACCCTCTTCCTAGAATGGTGTCGGAGAGGCAGCGAAGGCAGGCACTAGCACATGATCTACACTCGTACACACCCGCCTGACACGTGGGATGAAGCACAAGTGACCCAGAGAAATGGCCACAAGACCACGCAGCTGGCACGGCATCAGGTGGTATGAACAGAGTGTGGTCCGTGCCACAGTCCCTAGTGCTTGGCAGCAGCAGTACACCCTTCTGATCAGTTTTGCAGCATAATCTGAAGCGTCTGTCTTGGCTGGAGACCCCACACAGGATTCTCCAAGCCTCCCGTGACTGTGTGAGCTACCCTCGAATCCTTCCAGTCAATTCCCTCTCACTGAAGTCAGCCAGAGTCCATTTCTGATGCTTCCAGGGAAGAACCTGACTGATGAGATCTCCGCGGGGCAGGAGAGGGGGCAAGAGGGAACCACCACAGAGGGCCCACACTTGGTTTCAACAACACAGTAACAAGGGGTTACACAAATCTGAGGTACAACTCGTTAATGCCACACATGTTTCTTCATTGTACCACGATGTACTGGTCACTAATTTTTCTCTCCTCTCTACATGAAGACACCTCCTTCTGCTTCTTCCAGCTTTCCAGTGTCAATGGCCCAGCACTGAGCACACAGTAGGTGCCCCAGCATCAGCAACCACACGACTCTGGAAATTTAAAGTACCAATAACCTGTCAAACAATACTCTTTCCTGGGAATACACACTACGTGTAAGTCAAAATCTCCCTCAAAACATCTACAAGCCCAAGAAAAAATTAACCTTATGAATATTTAGAAATGTGCTCTAGGCTAAAATCTCAACTCTAAGTGGTGAAACTGGATTACAAACAATTTTTTACACAATTTCAAAAAGTTCCTGGTTATGGTTCCTTAATAAGAGTTCCTCTCTTCAGTTCTTCTTTTCTAAAGAGGCAGGAAAAAAAGAGCCAACTCTCCTCAAATGCACAGTGACCACCACCGCACACACACACCCCAAGAAATGGAGACTGTGAAGGGAGGCAGGATCATTCTCGGCCTGGAAATCAATCTGATTCTCTTTTATGTCGGTAAGATTCTTTCTTTTCTCCTCCATTTTATCTAATCAATCACTATTCCTCATCTAATGCATTTATATTTTAAGCCCCTACAGATTAATTTTTCAATGTCTAATGCTATGGAAATGGTCTTTTTTCCCAAGACAAATAGTGTAATAAAAGAATAGCTGAGGAAGTTTCAGATTAACCTTGAAAATTCCCTTTGCTGCTTTAAAGAAGAGCACCTCACCAAACAAAGGGTTGAAAATGTTCTTAAAATCGCATGTGCTGGTCACAATGATGCCGTGTCTGTAAGGCAAACACGCGCTGCACGTGACAGGCACTACACAGTACTTGCTGAATATTTTCAAAGAATAAAGTGTCTGAAAAGCCAGATTTCGGTAAATTAAAAAGTACTTGTCATTAAAAAAAAAAAAAAAAAAAAGCTGCCATGGCTCCTTCCATAGAACATAACCATCCCATAATAGATATATTTTTTAAATTCTGCTTATACTGACTTTTTCCTCTAGGAGAGGAGGAGAAAGTGGTTCTAATAATCCATCTCATCATAGTTGTAATAAAGCTAATAATCTCAGAGTTGCTCACAAAGTCTGTGTCATAGGACAGAGAAGGTAGCAAAAGCTCTTAAAATTGTTTTTTTCTCATCTGTGAAGAAATATATCAAAATGTTAACAATGGTTATTTTGAGTACAAGGACTATGAGTGATTTCAGTAATATTCTGATTTTTTTTCCTAATCCATATAAATGACTTTCATAAACTATTTTCATTAGTATTATTTTAAGAAAGAATTCTTATTTTTTAAAGATCTACTCTGACAGATATGAAGAGAGAATATCTGAGATTTACCCAAAAATGATGTGGGAGTGAAGGAGCAGGTGCGGGGGTGAAGGAGCAGGTGGGGGGAGAGGCGAGACAAGACTGGGGCAACAAGTAGCAGGGAGTTCACCGTGCTAGCCTGCTGCTTCTGCGTATGCTTGAAATTCTCCATGCGATGAAGTGTCAAAAATCAGTTTTCTATTTATTTTCCAGCCTGGATCACAGTAAAGTGATTTTTTTAAGAGGGGGGCGGGGGAGGGACTGAGGGAGAGAGAATCGAAAGTCAGACGCTTAACCGACTGAGCCACCCAAGTGCCCCCCAAGTGCCCCGAAAGTGATCTTTCTTTTATTCCCCTCCACCAAGAAGATAAACTTTCAGCCATTGCAGAGGGTACTGCATTAAAAAAAAAAAAAAAAAAAGAATCCTATAGGATAAGAGAATTCTTAAAGAGAAGTTCTTGCAGGACTAGGCTTGGTGTGACCCAGTACCCAAACTTCTCTTTTGCAAAGAGGCTGTGTCACTGGTGCGGGGGAGGGGCAGCTGTTTCCTCACCCATCAGCCCTCTCAAAGGAAATCCTTGACCGCTCTTCTCGGACACTGAACTAACCGTTCAGAAGTCGGAAGTAAGTGGAGACATGAAACTACAAAGTTGCAAATATTTCTTCTTCCCTGGAACATTAGTTCTCCAAAATTTTTTCTTCCCTTTTAAGACTATCTGAAAAAGGACTTCAGACTGAGATGCTGTCAGTTAACTGTTAGATTTTGGCAGGCCCAACTCCATTTGAAACCCCCAATATATATTGATCATTATAACTTGCAAAGTGTTTGTACTTCTAATGGGGCTGCCTTTGAGTAGGAGACATGAGGCTGTATTTACCAGACTTAGGAGTGAGTCCAATCCCTCACCTGCAGACGAGTGAGGAGCCTGCTTGTCTTTCTCCAGGTGACCTTACACTCTCCTCTGGTCTATATTTATCAGGTCATTAAAACACTCCCAGCTCATCTCAGATCGTACATATACTAAAATTAAAACATGGGGAGAATATATCTGCATCGCAAATGCCACAATTCTAATTTTAATTTATCTTCTAGTTCTGGATGAAGACTAAGAAAACCATTAAGTGAAAAAACAAAACACAAAACTCTTGTCTGAAATTCAAGCATCAGACCACTTGGATTACTATTCCAATTTCATTTACAGTAGCAAAGGACAAACTCAGAAAAATAAGACCATTTGGAACACATAATCAGGCAGAAGTCAAACTAAAAACTTGCATAAATTCCAATTTGTCTCAACCAATACTATTTTACATAGACCCTCCCTTACTCCAAAAAGGGTTTAGGGCAGATCTTCCCATCTATAAAGAGTGGCTTTCCACCTCACGGGCCTGGGATTAGAAGGCCAAGATGGGGACCCAGGCAGCATAATGTGGATGAAGCATGTGGCAGAGAAAGCACTAGACGTGGTGTCTGGTCCCGGGCCTGCTAACGCCCGCTGAGACGCCCGCTGAGATACCCACGATTATCCCTAAAACGGGCATGTGACACCATGTGAACAGAAGTGGAGACAAGGCGCGGCAGCAGAACTAGCTACCTTTTATTAAATTCTTATTAAGGCTTAGCCAACTACGTATTCCTTATGCATCGATGGCCTCACTTAAACCTCCCACTAATCCCTCGAGCTGCATATACTATCGCCACTTTGCTACAGACCACAGAGCTAGAATCTGAACTCAAGTCTGTGCTCTTTATCACAACACTGTTCATCAAACAAGACAGAAGCTACCAGGGACTACAGAGCAGGGTGCTGGTGCAGGGAAGAAATCAAATCTGCTCACTGTGGCATGGCTAACTCATTAGGTCTCAGCTTGGTAACCAAATATGCTGGAGGCTAAGCCAGGTCTGTATTTCCCCAGGTGTGCACCTTGTCTTTTATGTTTCCTGTAGAGACAACCAGGCTTACAAAGGAATAATTGTGAATTGCCATGAATTCCTAGCAATCCCAACCCTCACAAGGCCAAAGACAAAGAAAATCCCCTCACTCATGTGCTCAGTCAGCAGCAACACTTGCGCTGACCACACCGCTCCTGGGAGGCCAGGGGTACAGATGGGGCAGGACGTTTAGCAATCAAGGGAAAGCTTATAAGGTCCCCAAGAGTA